GAGCTTTCGCATTTTTGCCCATTTTTCACCTTCTGCTGTTGTCACAAGTCCATCTCCTAAGAGCTTCTTCAAAAAGCTTTCGGGCTCTCTTTTGCAATAAGCTTTGTCTTTGTTATTCAGTATCTCTTTGCATAACTCAGGCTCCGTGATGACCAATTGAGCCTTAGAACCATGCCACTGAAGATAGTTCTTCCCTGTTGATGAATGAATATGACCAAAATTTAACTTGGAACTCAGATTTCAAAACAATAGTTTAATTAAGACGGTTTGTTTGTTACCATATATCTTGGCCCATGAGTGAACGTGAGGTTGAACTACAGAAAGTACGTCGTGGGACGAACTCAAACTCTTAGGCTTGCTCATGGCTTCCTTGATCATGTTGGAGATGTCCTTGGTGTTGCCATGGATAAGTCTGTAAGGAGGGCCTTTGATGCCCTGCAAGGCCATCAGATTCTGCAAGCGAGCCGGAGCCCACCATAGTGTCATGCCCCGGACTCGGGGGTCGGTGGAAATCCCACGCCCGGTGCGTGAGAAAAATTATAAATAAATAAAAAAAAATTACAAAGAAGGGTTTAAAATAAACTTCTCTTATAAAAATAGCTTCGAAATATATGCCCGGTGCGTGAGAAAAATTATTTAAAAAAAGAATACAAAGAATTAAAATAAACTTCTCTTATAAAAATAGCTTCGAAATCTTACAATTTTACAAGAAATAAATAAAGCTCTACTACTCTCATCTAATTCAGCCTCAATCGATTAGTCATCATCTTGCCCACTAATTCATTTGAAAAGTTAAACAGGGTGAGGGATGAGCAAAGCTACCATTGCTGGAATCATACTCTAGCAAAACAACACCATCATGCAGTCAATTAGCTAACTTTAGTCTTCAATTAATTGATTCTAAGGAAGTACCAGAAACTCTAAAACTTACTTTTAAGCTCTCTCCATGGAAGGCGTGGATGGCGAACTTTCGCATTTTTGTCCATTTTTCACCTTCTGCTGTTGTCACAAGTCCATCTCCTACAAGCTTCTTCAAAAAGCTTTCGGGCTCTCTTTTACAATAAGCTTTGTCTTTGTTATTCAGTATCTCTTTGCATAACTCAGGCTCCGTGATGACCAATTAAGCCTTAGAACCATGCCACTGAAGATAGTTCTTCCCTGTTGATAAATAATTATGAGCAAAATTTAACTTGGAACTCAGATTTCAAAACAATAATTAAGTAATTAAGACCGTTTGTTTGTTACCATATATCTTGGTCCATGAGTGAACGTGAGGTTGAACTACAGAAAGTACGTCATGGGACGAACTAAAACTCTTAGGCTTGCTCATGGCTTCCTTGATCATGTTGGAGATGTCCTTGGTGTTGCCATGGATAAGTCTGTAAGGAGGGCCTTTGATGCCCTGCAAGGCCATCAGATTCTGCAAGCGAGCCGGAGCCCACCATAGTGTCATGCCCCGGACTCGGGGGTCGGTGGAAATCCCACGCCCGGTGCGTGAGAAAAATTATAAATAAATAAAAAAAAATTACAAAGAAGGGTTTAAAATAAACTTCTCTTATAAAAATAGCTTCGAAATATATGCCCGGTGCGTGAGAAAAATTATTTAAAAAAAGAATACAAAGAATTAAAATAAACTTCTCTTATAAAAATAGCTTCGAAATATATGCCCGGTGCGTGAGAAAAATTATTTAAAAAAAGAATACAAAGAATTAAAATAAACTTCTCTTATAAAAATAGCTTCGAAATCTTACAATTTTACAAGAAATAAATAAAGCTCTACTACTCTCATCTAATTCAGCCTCAATCG